AAGCAACCTGTAATAATTTTCTATACAATGTATATGAATACATATATCCATTTTAAATTTGATTGCCGATACAGGCAATTCCCTAAAACCGGGTTCATGATTTTAACCTTCTCGAATCTACATTACGTAAGGATACTTTCACGTTTTTCATTTTTATGTAGCCAAGTGGTTCTTGAGTAGAAGAATAAAATTAGCCATCCAATTTTACTATTTCTTAATTACTTCAAGTTTCCAATCGTTGATGCACTTGCATACTCTATCTACCAGACAGCGATTCCTTAATCAATATCTTCATTTACTTCATCTTGGTGCAATGTAATGTAACGGGTGGGGGAACAGCAATCCTCTACTACTATTGGGACGCACTCCCTCACTCTATCTATAGGGGCTGTCTTATCTTTCGTGGCAAGGCTTGCGTTACACAGCTCAACCCGAGCTCAGGAGGGCTAGTATGGCACAATGGTTCAAAACTCAATACTCTTTAATCTTATATCACCACACACTAAATTATCTCCCTTTAATCAATGAACTCAGATAATACACCACTGCCCAAAACCTTAACCTCCTATTATTAACCCGCGCTCTCTAAGTTACACTAAATTTATAAATACACGAAATCTCTCAGTTTTTCTTCTCCATTTGTCAAGCTCGTTACAACCTAGACCTAAGGAAGTCAATAAAATTCTTGAATACTCATTTATCTCATTACTCTGTTCTTACTCTTTTATATCCCACAATTTCCATCTTGTTGGAAAATCACACTTTGATAAAACCTTGTAAATCTCTGTACTTGAAATGAGACAAAATACAGTTTTACAATTTATTATAAGAATTATCTCTCAAATGAACAATCAACAAACAAATTCTAAGCTCTGTCTCAGTCTGTCTATGTCACCTATTAGTCCTGACTTATCTGTCTAAAACCAACCTCAATTCAACTCACAAAACTCCTAATTCTCAGAACTTCCTCTCAGACCTCCTGGATGAAAGTAAAAACCAATAACTGAAACTTAATCCCTTAAACCTAATTAATTCCTAACAAATTTCAAACACCAGCAATTCCTGCAAATTTCCTAAGTCTGAATTTCAGTTAAAAACTGTAGTAAAATTTAGAAATACACTAGCTTCCTTAGCTAAATGTATAAATTACCTAAACAATTTCAAGTAATTCTAAAAATTTAACAACAATTTACCAAATATTCAAACAACCAGCAAATTTTAACCAAGTCCAATTCTCAGTTAAAATTCACTAAAACCTGACCAAAACTTCCTATAAAATTCCACAAATATTCCAAAAGTTCCTAAAAATCCTTAAAATAACCCTGACTCTTCTTAAACTAAAACTAAAAAGTCATTATTAAATTTAAATTCAAAACGCGCAACCCATGCTAACTCCTTACCCCTTAAAACACTTCTTCCCTAAATGAATCAACCTAGCAGAAGAGCGAAAATTCCTTGAATCTCTCTCTTTTATACAACAACATGACGTAAATGTTGGAAACTGTTGGACTTGTTGGAAAACGTTGGAGAATCTCTCGTGACATTTCCCGTAAATTGCAAAGTCTACAGAAAAATCTAATAACTACATACAAGACAACTTTTCTGAATGAAAGTAATCTCCAAATACATTCTTCAATTAGAATAAGTCAATCAATCTCCATTTAAATCAACAAATAACAGAATTAACTCCAAAAATCCTAAAACTATCGTAACTTTTACGATCGGGCTCGACCTACACAATTTACGACCGCCAAGTTCGAAAACAAATCTACCAGTTTATAAACTGCCGATAATTAACTGAAAACAAGTTAAACTTCAAGAAAACATGATGTCATCTATAAATCTATGGTTCATCTACTACAGAAGACCAATTAAAATCCCTGAAACATTAAGTAAGCTAAAATAATGCCACAACTTTACTACTGCTATGATCAGCTGATTTCTACGTAACTCAAAACATGTGCACAAACTATTCAACTCATGTAAATTACTTAAACTTGTCAATAATCACCTATCAACTACATGCAAAGCATAAATTAATACATATTCCTGCAATATCAAGTAACTATAACACATAAAAATTCATCTCAACTCTCCTACAAATGTCAACAATAATCAGGTTCAATAACTCTGTATAAAACTAATCTGTCAAATCTCTGGACCGTTACACTACCCTCCTCTCAAAATATTTGTGTCCTCACAAATGACTTATCTCAAGTAAATGTCAAATCTAAACATTAAGGTCAAAGTGTCTACCTTACAATGTACAATCATCAATACATTACAATAATATGACATAACATCTGAAATTATAACTTTGGCTATAATTTACACATATCAATGCTTTAATTTACCGTACTTTATTCTTTCCTAGAATAGAATATCACTTAGCACAGTTCCATTTAACACAATCACACGTGATTCCTGGTCCTTCCCATCAAGGTAGCGTCCCGTCAGATTACCGTCAGATTACGTCTAGCATCACAGTCAGTCCCTCACACAAGACGAAAGACCACCTTTAAGCAATCGCTTAATGGTAGCTTAATGGTGACTTAATGGTGGCTTAAAGAAGTTAATTCCTTTAAGCCACCATTAAGCCACCATTAAGCTGCAACTTACAGGTGCTTAATGTCCAAACTTCATTAAGCTACCATTAAGCCACCATTAAGCTGAGCTTAATGGTGACTTAATGGTCAACCCTCATTAAACTTTTACGCATCTTATATAGAATCTTTGAACTAACTTTTAGTTATTTTAATATCATTTACGCAAAATCTATTCCAACTCATAATTCTGTCTCGATCATAATTTCTACGAGTTTTTTGTCAACATGCATAAACTTGATCACAGGGAACAAAGTTAGCTAATAGCCACAGGGGCTTGCTCGAGGTGTCTAATTTTTTCTTAAAATCATTTATAGTAATAATAAAACAAGACATCCTGTATCAGAACCGTATATTATTTTTTTTTAATAAATCATTATTACATGCGTTGTTTTTATTTTTAGTGTATATGATTTTTAAAAATAAATAATTATTACACACCGTGAGCAAGTCCTTGTGAAATATTTTAAATTTACAATACCAAAAATCAATTTGTTCTTAAAATTATCTATATTCATGAACACAAAATATATATCACTTTTTAAAAACAAAATGGTATTTTTATTTCATGTGTTAAAAGAAACATTCCGCTACAGAATTCACAGGAATATAACTATATAATCTCATGAAAAAAATTCTCTGTCCTTTTTTTTTGGGGGGGGGGGGGGCTACTGGTATACAACTGTTTAGTTTTCAAAGATTTACTTTTACCATGAAAAACTTTTTAATGGCTTTTACATCATGAATAATTCTAATTAATTCGTTATTTTTTTTTTAATAATGCAGCGGTAAGTATCTGTCAAAATCTAGTTGGTCTTCAATGATTGTTATTTCAAAATCGATTTTCAGAGGAACGGCCGATCAGACTAAACATGACATCCGACCAGATGTATACACATTGAGAAACGGGGTAAGATTAACAGATGATCAGTGTACAGTAAACCGACTGGTCAGACAATAGACCTTAATTAGGTGTCCCCCGTCCCCGGTTAACTTACAGGAAACTATACATACACAACGTACACTGACAGATTTTAATGATCAATTATTTTAAAAATTAAATTTAACGCAAGCATATAACAAATTAAAAATTATGATTCATCGTAAAAAGTCAATTATTTTGATACCCATTATGATACAAAAAGAATTGAAACTGAATATGGTATTCTAAAAAAAGTTTTTTTAAACGTAATTAACCAGGTAACTCTTACGCGAGGATTGTCACTAAATTGTTGACACAGAAACCCTTAACCCTTTCTCTTCCGGCGCATTTTACGTGATTTTGGAGGTCTTTTGACATGACATTATTAAATTATTTCTAACTTTTTTATCCAAGGGGAAAGCTAGGCATAATGCATACCATTTTGTAGGAAATTTCTTACAGATGATTTTTTATGACTGTTTAGATACTCAACCACTGACCTTATTAGTAAAAATTGAGGTCAAAGGTCAATTAAGTGCAAAATTTTATGGAATTTTTTGATACTTTTTCATCTTTAAGCTAAATATTAAGTATGATGTATGTTGAAATAGGAAATTTGGGATATACCCACAAAAGAGCATTATACTGTACTACATGAAACACATAAACTTTTTTTTCAATTCTGCATATAATTACTTAAAAGGGGTTGCTAAGCAACGCAGAATTCTTTAATTTTCGGGCAGAAATTTTCATTTTTTACTCATCCTAGACACATTTATGCATCCCAGCAGATATAAAAGTTAAATGTGAGGTCATAAAATTATAAGGGACATACAACAGATAAATTGTCATAAAGTTTGACCTCATTAGAACTATTTTTTGGAGGTCAAAGGTCAAATTAGTGCAAAAGTTTCATCAATTTTTTTCAACACTTTTCAATATTCTTGCCATAATTTTACACAATGGATGCTGACATGGAAAATTCTGAATATACTCTCAAGAAGGGATCAGAACTGCAATATCCATGCATCATTTTAGTTCAAATATCTGTTTAATGACCTTTAAGTGGTTGCTAAGCAACATCATTTTAAAGTTTTTGGCTATATACATGTTTGTTATTTCACATTCTGGACAAATTCTAGACACTTTTTGTATATTTCATGATACTGCTTGTAAGATATGGGCCATAAAGATGAAAGAACATTTTTGTATTAAAAATTGACCTTGACACTCTCGTTCTTCAGGGGGTCAAGGTCATATCAGTACAGAATTCTGCTTTAAACTGTAAGTAAATATCAATTTTGAAATGCTTCAAACATGGATAAATCATCTAATAGTTGACGTAATAAAAATGGCGAATGACAAAGTTTGCAAGCAAAGAATTCTGGTCTGCTTCTTACAGAGCCCTAGCAAAACATGTATACTATCTTTTTGTTAAACAAGAAATCCATTCTCTTGATGACATTAAAAATAATCTTTATTTTCATGGATTTAATTTAACAAGAAAAAAAAACTAAATGATTTCATTGCAAGTTTTTCTGGTATAACAGAGCTTAAGGGGTACAATAAAGATTTGACATGTTATCTTGGAGGGAAATAATAATAGATAGCATTGGCAATACTTAATGCAAAACTGTTTAGTCAATAAGTTGAAAATTTGACGCTTATATCCAAATATACAAATACAGAAATATTGCAAGATGAATTCCAAATCAGACTGAAATCTTCAACAAAATGTTGAAGAGCACTTTTACTTTGTGTCCACCATTCTTTTATCAACTGTCATTTCTCTGTAAGACCGGAGGAAATTCTTTGACTTGTCCAAGACATTATTATTTGCTGTCAAGTACAAGTGATCAGCTTCTATCCTGTAAAAGATTTAAGTATTTTGAAACAGATACATGTCATTGTATATATAAATTTATATTTATAAATAAAATTAAGAATGCTAAAATTACTACGTTTATTTGATTTTCCTTTTAAAATTAAAATTGTATTCATTATGTGATCCAAGTAGTTAAATGATATTGTTAAGTCAATTTAATGTATCAGGACTGATAATTTAACAACTTGTAGTAAACCATCATGGTAAAATTACTGAACTAAAACAAATAGCATATATGGCAATCTGACTAAAGCCTGACCTCTGTTTACGCTATCGCAACATGTAAAAAAAATCTGGCATTAGATTGCTACGAAGGCCAGGAAGGGACACGTAAATTTTTCAAAAAAGTAAAAGATGATATCAAATCGAATTAGACAATCTAATCCCAAGGATTACTAAATTGTTCCCTTGATTTATAATATGAGATCTCAAATTACACAATCCGATCTTAAGGATTACTAATTCGCCCTCTTGATTCATAATTTGAGATCTCGAATTACATACTGGTAATTTGTTTTCACAGATTGATAATTCAACATCTTGATTTGTTACAACGTCAGTCTTATGATTTTGGAAATCTGTGCTCTTGAATTTCATTACATATATTTACAGAAACATCCAACCATTTTAATCAATAAGTGCGTTCTATCTATTTTGTTTCAGCAACCGGTCGTTTCCAACCTCTTTCATAACTAATTCAACGTATATTTATTTAAGAAATATTATGATTACACAGGACCCATATTCACTTTTACTACATGTATCTAGGACTTTCAATTATTCTACAAGTAACACAAAAACTTCTAAGATTTTTTGTTGTACAAATATCAGTACTAGCACATGGATTTGAAAATGTTCATGTATTTTTCTCATTTTGGACCGTAATATGTAAATAATAAAAGTTAGGATGTAAAATACTACAATATTTTATTTTTTAAACATGTACCGGTATTACCATATCCGATATGTACAGATAAATAATTTAAACGAAATCATGGGAAGGGTTTACATTCCGAGGGAATGAATCATTTAAACTAAAAGAATGAATTATACAATCTGAGATAACGGACTGTGTAATTTGAGGGAACGAATTGGTAATCTGTGAGAATGAATTTGCAATTTGTTATAACATATTGTCAATCCGAGAGAATGGATTGTATAAATCAAGAACTCGGTTTACTTTTATAAATTTTAAAAATTCTATGTCCCTTCATGGCTTTCATAGATTTCATACCTGCATGGCTGCCAGGGTTGTAAAAAGAAAGGAGACAATAGACTGCAATGTTACTTCAGGGCAAAATTCCTGGCGCAAGGCTGTTCGTCATCATGGGAGTGTTGATAAACCATCCAGGGAGTTTGACCACCCATGTATATGATGTAGGATAATTGGAAAGTGTCTGAAAAATTTAGAAAATGGAAATTCTAACCACATACTTTATGCAGATTGGAAATACAACAGCAGTCTATAAAAACAGTTTGTTCCATATCTCAGCATTCATTCAGATAGATATTACATGTTTAAATCATGTTATATAATACGTCTGTATGAATAATCAAGCATCATAAGTATTATGTGTTTCAAACACTTATTTTTCAAAATATAAATCAAATGTTTATAAACTTGTATGAATGCGATATCATGAGAATGACACAAATGAAATTAGATTTTATTTTTTTAAATTTTAGAAATACAGAAATTTTCAATACCAAAATAAAAATTTACCTGTTCATTGGTGTCCTTACATATTAATTGACCTTCCGCTCGTAGTTCATGGTGGGCTTAGAAAGTGGGTATTCACAGATGAAAGTATTGTTGCATATGCTGAAAGCACCCTAAAATTTCAATGTGAAAGTGGTACATGTACACCTATACACACTGGTACATAGATACTAAAAACAACTATCCATTATTATGACAACTTTGATTTTACTTTGAACTTACGAGTGATTGTCAAAAGCATCAAAGTTCAAAAGCAATGCAAAATTGGCTGAACGATACGAAACACGCACACTGAAACATAAAGATCTAGTACATGTGTACATTTAGTTTTCTTTTGAACGTGAACTAATGCGTTTTAAACTTAAACTTTTCAGTCAATATACACGTATTCTCACCAAAGGCATATCCGTATTATTTGATTCATTGATGTGATGATCTTCGTCGTGAAATAATCATGAAAATTGACGTTCAGATTTCGGATCACCATCATGTTTACACCAAAGCGGAAACACGTGTTTATTTCAATTCGTATCAACTCATACAGTATTGAGTCGTATTTATTTATAAATGCGAGTTTTTGTATTGTTAAATATAGATCTAATTTAATTGCAAATTAATAAGTATACAGTATAACAAGATACAACAATATTAAAAATCTGATTGATTTTTTTTTTAGTAAAGATCGACGTTTTGGAAATCTACAATTTTTATCAATATTGTATATCGCTTCATGAAATATACATCATTGCATGTAGATGAATAAATCAACATTCACTTCACAAAAGGCAGAACGAAAGTATATATTTCTTTTTTGAAATCTTTTTTTTTTGTATTATGCATTTATTTCAGTAAAAAATATATTTGAATGGTCAAAAAAGTCTTATAAAAGAATTTGTTGTTTCGAGTAAGACGCAACAATATCGACCTTGACGTTACATGTAAAATTGACCGATTTTTCCATAAAAACTATGCAAAGGTCACAAATTCAAATTATCGTAATTAAGAAAATACTGAGTGTAAGAAGGCATATAAGGGCTTGTTGGAAAGGAAATTTTCTCTACTATTACCAGCTTTATTTTGTTTTTCCTATTTCAACACAGAAATAAACGTAAAACTGAGCTTTGTTTAAATATTACGAATAAAATCGATAAAAAACACATAAGTGCAAAAAAATTCTTGTTTTTAAAATATATATTAAAGTAATAACAATAATTTTTACATATTTTAAAAGTAGAGAAAATATTCTTTAAGAATATACCATGCTTTCTTATAAAGTTAATCAGGAAAAAAATTGTCAATCGTCTGGAAATTCGGCAATCGCTTTGGAAAATTACGCCATTTTCAAAAAGTCTCGTTTGTCTTTACAACGTAAAATCGATTAAATACCGGCAATCAAGATATAATCTTTTTAGATATTTTAAAAGTAGAGAAAATTTCCAAAAAGATGATATATAGGTTATATACCTTCATGCTACCACAAAATAGATACGGAGATCTTATTTTCGCGAAGTCGTGTTTTAACGCGCCATCGGTCAATTTGACCGATACGGAAGTGAAGGGGTTAATATCCGCTGTATATAAAAAATAATAGTAGAATCTGTTTTTTCCTCTTTCTTTTTCGATGATAGACTTTTGTGTTTAATCTATAATTAATTTATTTTCAATCATGATTTAATGCTTACATTTCGAAAATTTTCGAATAACAGCGAAGAACTCAATCACATTACATCAATCTAAAAGCCGAACTCAGTGTAGAAATATAAATTATTGTGTTAAGATCCAAAAATAAAATTGTTTATATTTTGATTAATAAATCAATTCAAGACTTTTGGAAATGTTCAACAAAATACTATTAAATAAACAAATTTTGAAAAAAAAAAATAAAGGTCAAATATTTAATATTTTCACAACATTATCAACAGCGGCGATAGCCTAATGGATTAGGCGTTCGCCTTGCAACCCTAAGGTCATGGGATCGCGCCCCGACTCTGGCGTTTTTTTTTTTAATTTTGGATTTTGAATTTCGTTCTTTTTCATAATTTATACCAAATCAAGATATAAGCGAACTCTACATTTATAATATTGATAAATCACTATAAAAATAATTTTTCACCCATATAAACAATATTATCGACTGCGTAATGTGATTTAATGGTGGCTTTATGGTGGCTTAATGGTAGCTTAATGGTAGCTAAATGGAGTTTGGACATTAAGCACCTGTAAGTCTAGCTTAATGGTAGCTTAATGGTGACTTAATGGTGGTCTAAAAGTTACCATTAAGGACCTGTAAGCCACCATTAAGCTACCATTAAGCTACATTTAAGCACCCATTACGGACTTTGAGTTGGCTTAATGGTAACTTAATGGTGGTGTAAATGTTACTTAAAGGTGCTTAATGGTGACTTAATGGTGACTTAAAGACAACCATTAAACCACCATTAAGGACCTATAAGCCACCATTAAGCCGGACTTAAAGGGTGTGTTTCATCTTGTGTCAGGTCGAATCTCTATTCTCTTTCTTGTTTACCATCAACGGCGCCTCCTCGATCCCGTCTCCATCTGTCGAGCTGTCTGCAGTCCTCTAACGGTTCGCCGCAGTCCCCCAATCTCAACCACCACCAAGGTCTGCAGCTGTTCCACGGCTCTCTTTATGTCCCTTAGAGTCACTTCCCCTGTATCCACAGTCTGGGTCCCACTGTCTGTCTTCTTGGTCGTCCCTGTCTGTCTATCCGTCTTTGTCTCCTCGGGTATTTCCATATCTTCTCCGGTTCCTAGGAGTTGTTCCAGGAAGTCCTCAGCAACCGCTGGGACGGGAGTGGAAGGAGCTGACAACGGAACAGATGGCCCGGCTTCCTCAGCCAGGGCCTCTGGGGTTGGCTTGACGACGGTAGACTCTGGGTTGGCTTGACGACGGTAGACTCTGGGGTTGGCTTGACGACGGTAGATGTAGCTGGTTTTTTTCTCGATTCCCAATAGGTCGCTGATTCTTCTCTGTTGAGAGGCACATAGTCCGCCATAGTGAATCTGTGAGGGCGGTCATTTCGCTTCAAATAATAATCATCGTTTATAAACTCCCCACGCCTCATACTTTCAACTTTGGTCCGCTCGTGGGACTAAAAGGTCAAGGTATGCCTCATCAAGTCCGAATAGGTTTTGGCACTATAATGGCAGAGACTACAGTGAAAAGGAGAATCCTCTGCGGTCAGATGATATTTGTAATGGTGTGTCTCCATCCTCCCCTTTTCTGCGATGAAGGCAGGGCACTGGACACAGCGGTAGGCTCGCCCCCTCTTCAACAATCCTGTCATCTTCGACATGGTTCTAGAATATAAAAGCATGATTATCAATACATGTTTCTACAAATGACAGTGTAAAAGAATCTCTCTTATACCTTTACCCACCCATGTTTCCTACAACTATGGATGTCCATAAGACCAAAATATAAATATACACACACATATATATATATATATATATTCTCAAAACTATTTAAGTCATTCTGAGTCATAAGGTTTTAGTTTGTCATGATTCACGACAACACACCGACCCTTAGGTAGCTTTATCTCAAAGTTCAGCTCACTAAGTTTCTTTGTTATCAAACAGGGTCCTACATAATTAGGTTGCAACTTGGGACAAGTGCCTCCTCGGCGCAAGTCCTCCTGGTACCAGACCCTATCATTAACACTGTAGACCCTAAGCTTTGTCCTAGAGTTATAAATCTGTTTCCTCTTTTGAAAAGATTTCTCCAAATGTTTCCTAGCTACTTTGTGTGCATGTTGCATTTTCTCTCGAACATGCAAAATATAATTAGCAGGGCTACTCTTAGATTTCAGCATTTCCAACGGCAACCCTCCTTGGGTCACGTCGGAAGGCAATCTCACTTCCCTACCCAGCATCAGAAGATTTGGTGCAAGTTCAGTTGACTCATGCTGGGTAGCACGGTAAGCCCCAGACAGACAACCTAAGTGAAGATCCCAGTCCCTTTGTTCCCCACGGATATAGGACTTGATCATTCCCAGCAGAGTACGGTTGAACCTTTCAACCTGACCATTACACTTTGGGTTCCTGGGACTTGTGCGGGTTTTACGAATTTCAAAAAGCTCACACAATTGTTGAAAAACTTCACTCTCAAAACAACGACCTTGATCTGAGTGGATCGTTAAGGGACATCCAAATCTACAGATAAACTCATTCAACATGACATTGGCGCAGGTGACAGCAGTCTGATCTGGCACAGGGATTACCTCCACCCACTTGGTGAAGTAGTCCGTCATGGTGAGTATGTACCGGTTACCCCTAGGTGTGATCGGAAGGGGGCCAAGCAGGTCTGTGGCTACTCTGTCCATGGGAGCACCAATTGGCATCTGTCCTAGAGGAGCCCTTGGGGTCTTTGTAAGTGGTTTATTTGCTGAGCAGACCTCACATTTTGCAATCCAGATTTGTATATCTTCTTTCATCTCATACCAATAAAATCTCTGTTTTATCTTTTGTTGAGTTTTCTTCTTCCCCAAATGTCCTGATAGAACCGAGTTATGCATTTGGTACAAAACTTCAGATTTCAGTTTTCCCGGGACTAGGAATTGGCTATGAGGTCCAGTACCATCTTAAGATACAAATGTTTTGAACAGCAAGCCTTCCCTTTCCTCAAGGGAAGACCATACCTGCCAATAATGTTGAGTTGCTGGGCTATATTTTCCCATTTCCTTCCCCTCTGGTCTATGGTTCTCTCTCTTGAATCTCAAAATAGGACCAATGTGTTCATCATTTTCTTGTAATTCTTTCAGTTGATCATTGGAATATCCGCCTGACCAGGGTGTCCATGTATCTTCTGCCATCTGTGTGCGGGTTCTCACTGCTTGTGTCTTTCCTCCCTGTGATGTATTTCTATCTCGACTTGACTCAGGGAGCCCTGCATCTCTTGTGTTCGACGTTGACACTTGGCACAGGGTCCACATCTCAGGCTTGCATGCTCAGTACCCTCAGAATTTGTCAAATCCATGTGTCGGGACATAGTGTCAGCATTGTTATGCTTGTTCCCTGGACGGTGTTGTATTTCAAAGTCAAAAGCGGACAGGATTTCCAACCATCTGGCAATTCTGCCTTTAGGTGCTTTAAGACTGCATAACCATATCAAAGCTTGGTGGTCGGTACGAACCAGGAATTTTCTACCCAGTAGATACTGGCGATAGTATTCTACAAAATACTTCACGGCAAGCAACTCCTTGTCGGTTATGCAATAGTTGCGTTCAGATTTGTTGAGCGTCTTGCTTCCATATGCAATCACTCGTTCGCGACCGTCCTGGATCTGGCTTAAGACAGCACCTATTCCAACATTACTTGCATCGGTGTCGAGAATATATCCATCATCATCTCGTGGATAACCCATTACC